TGTCCTGTTGATAAGAGTGAGATGGGTTTTTTCCTTTGTGTTCGTAAGGTATTAGCTAAGCGTCTCTATACCACTGATGCCAAGAACTTAATCAATAAGGTTTTGTTTTGTTTTGTTTTTGGTTCTGTAAACAAGCCTTCGGTTAGAGTGCTAAGAAACCGCATGAAGTTTTCTAGGGCCGCCGTAACAAATTCCAGCAAATTGGGTGGTTCGCAACAAAAGACAGTGACAGAGTCTCTTGGGATTCTGGACACTGGAAGTTAGAGCCAGGGTCAGACTCCCTCCGGAGGCTTCGGAGGAGAATCTGTTCCTTGCCTGTCCGCAGGTGTTGGCCGGCCGGTGGTGCTGCCCTGGTCCCATGGCTGCCTCCTCTCAGTGTGTCCAAGCCCCCCAGCCTCACACTTTCGGGGGTGTTTGGGATTGGATTTGGCTCACCTAGATCATCCAGGATAAGCCCCTTTTGTCAAAATCCTTCACTTCATCACCCCTTTGGCCATCTAAGGTACTCCCAGATCCCAGGGATTGGGGTGGGTACATAATCTTTTGACGGGATCACCATTCAGCTCACTAGAGAAGCCAAAATATCGGGCTCCCTGTTGGGAAATAACGCTGTTTCCAGTATCAAAGCACAGGTACTTCAGAACGCATCAAGCCTGCAGCCCAGGAGCGTGAGCCAGAATTGCAGCGTCCTTCATGAAGGCAGATAGAAAGTGGGGAAGAGCCTGTGCTGGAAACCCCGTCCACGTGTGGCTGGGGCCCTCGCTGCAGGCTTATTCTGATACACGTAGAAATGTTGAATCGGTGCCCCACAAATGCAGCTGCTTTTTTAAACAAGACTTTCGCCCCGTTACGACAAACCGCTTCTTAAATTAGTTGAAACCTATGGGCTATAAATACCAAAGTATGGTACAGCTTGGTTTTAATACGACTTGTGTAAATTTAGGTGTAAATGCTATGTTTAAAATACAGGATGCGATTGACTTTTAGCAATCTCTCTCAAAAGGATGGGTGGCAGAGAGGGCACCTTTGTTCTGAGCACTTAGCCCCATAAAAGCAAGGTCTTTTTGGCCATATTTTTGGAACGGCCTGAGAACATGTTTCTCCTCTAGAAGCTCCCTACCCCAGCTACCGAGTCAGTGAGGAGACTGTTCGGGTCCTTTGTCATGACCAGCTGGACAAGGTCCCCGAGGCAGCAGTGCTTTGCCATCAGTGTGCCCGGAGACCTGCCGTGGTATCCTGGAAAGCTATGACTTTTTCTACTCTTTGGAGCTAGGAATCATCTTCTTTTGCTCTGGGCCTAGTAGGTGGCAGTAAAGCTTGCTTTTTTGCTTTATTCCTACCTTGTGAATTTGTGTCCTTGGGAAGGCCCGGTTCTTTGGCAGAAAAAGAATCCCTTCTCAGTTCCACTTTTGGAACTAGAAAATAAATATTTAATTAGACCAGCACATTATGCTATTATATGAGCTTGACTTGAGAATGTTCCTGGGAACCTATAAAAAAAAAGGATCTGCTTTCAGGAAGTATTCTGAAGCCTTCTCTGAATTTTAGGAGGTGCCTGAAACCTGGTGTCCTACTGGAATAGCAAGTCCAAGAATTCGAATTCTTGTGTTTTTCATTTTTTTGTCCAATACTGTGTCTCTGGGACCCAGAGCAAATAAATAAGTAGATGTGCTCTGAACTTCTTCTTGGAAAGTCCATTTATATTATAAACAATAAAAAATCGAGAGTCTTAAAGTCGGGGATCCACTGTTAGCTTTTTGTGATAGTCCGATTGTTGACTGATTTTACTGAGTCAACTCAAAATTATTAATCAAAATTTGTAAGAAATAATAATTTTTATTTTTACCAATGATGTAGATTTTGACTTTTCAGTTTTCTTTCTGATTGCGAATGACTCCTGCATTGTGTTGGTATAACGTATTATATGTCAGGGATACATAAAAATTTATTTTTAAAAGACCTTTTTGGCAACCAGAAGTCTTGCTATAGACCACATAAAATATTCTAAATTTCCTAGGATCTGTTTTACAAAAAAGATACAAGATTTATGTGATGATATTTCGTGTCTTTCAACTGAGCATGACAACATTAGTGGCTGACAGGAAGTTATTCTTAGAAATGAAAATTTGATGTTTATTTCTTTTAATTTCATATTTCTTGAATATATGTTTTCAGTACTTTCATAAAATGAGAAACAGCGCTATCCTATTTTTCTTCTTTTAAATTTTTAGATGAATTTCTTTTTTTTTTTTTTAAGATTTTATTTATTCATTTGACAGAGATGACAAGTAGGCAGAGAGAGGCAGACAGAGAGAGAGAGGAGGAAGCAGGCTCCCCGCGGAGCAGAGAGCCCGACGTGGGGCTCGATCCCAGGACACTGGGATCATGACCTGAGCCGAAGGCAGAGGCTTTAACCCACTGAGCCACCCAGGTGCCCCTAGATGAATTTCTTTTATTTTATCTTTCTTATACTTATTAAACTAGTACTTATTTTTTTGCTTGATAGACTTGGAGCATCTATACTGGTATGAATCTTCTATTGTTTACAGGAGCGTTTGGAATCTAAATACGATATTACTAATTAGAGATTTGATACCTAATGATGTTAAATTTTATATAGGAGTTCATAAGTAAAAATAGAAAAATAAAATAAGTACAATCAAGAAAGGAACTTGCTTCATCATTGAGATGGGAACTGTGAATTTAACATTGTGGTTTTACAAATTTGGCATGTGTTTATTAATATTAAGACCATATATTTTCAGTAAAGTGAAGTGAGGAGGGGAGTCAGGTTTCCTTTTTCTTTCCCTGTAAGTGCCTCTTCTGTGCTGGGTTGATAATGCATCTCCTTCATGTGTTCAGTCACTTGGTAGATGACTACTCAGCATCTACCCAGTGGTAAGCACTGGGGTGGGCCCTTGGAGTGCATCCCCGCAAGGAAAAAGAAGTGACAGAACTTAGGACCAATGGGGAAAATCAAGTTTTGAAACAAAAATTAGAACCTATCTGCCATTTTGAGCTTCGTGGCTTCCCAGTGCTTGCTTTTCTGATGATACTTGACCAACGAAATGTATCAAGACTTGGAATATCAGTATGACTCAGTGGAGTGGTGTTGCCTAAAGCACCCATGTGTGATGTTGCACAATCATGCACAGTGTCTAAACGATTTATTCAGTGTGTAATAGAGACCAGCGGCTTTTCACGTAACAGCAGGTTCCTTGACATGCTTTCAAATTCCACACTGCAGTTAACCTTTCAGAAAACGTCAAAGAAAGAGAGTCATAACTGTCTGAATACCCCTGCCCTTTCCGGCTGCATACCTGTTGAGCCAGCTCTCTTTCCTGTATTTTAAACCAAAACAACCTACCACGGTAGACTGAATACAGAAGCAGGTATGAGAACCTGGCTATCTTCTGTGAAGCCAAACATCAAAGAGATTTTTTTAAATGGAAAGAAGTTGTGCTCTCTTGCTGATTTTTTGTTTTAAAAAATATAATTATTTTCATAAAAATATGTTAGTTATGTTATATGTAATGAGTTTATTGTTATTTTTAAAAGAAGTAATAAAGACATTTTTCTTTTCAGTTCCTAAGGCAGTAAACATAGATGTAATCTACCTAAATAGATTGTTGGAATTGTCGGTGGTGGCTAAGAGTGTAAAGATGTGGGAGGTAAGGAGCTTGAGAATGGCTGATCCAGAGGTGCACCCCACATCTGAAATGTATGTTGGGGCAAGATTATGATACGGAGGAGCTTATGTTTTATGTTAAGAGACTTGAATGGGAAGGAGTCCATATTTTTGAGCAGAAAAGCACTGGAAATCAAAAAGCGGTTCACACAGAGGGTTAATCTGGAGGGGATAGATGCGTGAAGATGGAATGGGGGGAGAGCAGGACAGGGGGCATGAACAGCACAACAGCAAGCCAGGTGTGAGGGCCCCGTTTGGGTTGGGCTAAATGAGAGATTGTGAAGGCAGTGCTGGCCTAGCTGAAGGAGAGGGAACCGGCCCCATGTTAGCTTGAGTTGGGTAACTGAGGTCCAGGGAAGAAGCTGTCTTGTTGGAAAGTGGAACTGGGTTCAGTTTCTTGAGGGACTGTGATTCGGCATTTGAGATCGAAGAACCAGGTAGAAATACCCAGTAGAGAACTGATGATTACGAGACCAGAGAGCCTTCCGTAACTTACGGTGTCACGGGGCACCTCTCTTTCTTATATTCAGATGAGTCCCTTCTTAGGTACGCAACTTGTGATCTGGTTGCTAAAGATTTCTGGTAGCTAGATGATGGCTTTTATCAAAATGTGATACATACGCATTTATTGGCTATTACGTGCTTGGCCTTGTACTGTGTGTTCTTACAGTTATTACTGTTTGTGTGAGTGTGTGTGTGGTTTTTAAGCTCTGTTAACTCATGTTCTTTCATTTCCTTGACTTATTTACAGCATTGTACAGAAGATAATTTCCCTATTCAGAACAATAAAATGTTGTTTAAACAAGTTATGATCAAGATTTAACAATGAAAACAGACTTTACCCCTTTTCTTCTTAAAAAATGACACAATTAGTCAGTAGTACATGGAAGATAAACATCTATTTCATGTTCCTCCTTATGATAAGTGTTTTTCATCGAAATTCCTTGATACTGTGTGTGGATGATTTACCAAGGCTTTTTAAAATGGTTGAAATATGCTCTAACAACCATCTGATAAAATGAAAAACTGAACAAAATGTGTACTCAGATGAATGATTCTCTGAAGAAATAATGGTGCAAATGAATTATCAAAGTGTGAAATCATTAAAAACAAAACATGTTTGAGTTTTTATTGAATCTTAATTGCAGGCTTATGTATTTTCTTTTGTAAGCTAAGTTAAAAGAAAATTGCCTAACTAAATTTTTGGAGGCCAGTGTTGTGGGACATATATTGTACCATAATTTATTTTTCACATAAAAGCTGCTGTTCATTTTTTTCCCCCAGCATTAACATGCATGCTTTCCTCATGTAGGAGAATATATAAAAAACTGGAGGCCAAGATATTTCCTTTTGAAGACAGATGGCTCATTCATAGGATATAAAGAGAAACCTCAAGATGTGGATTTACCTTATCCCCTCAACAACTTCTCAGTGGCAAGTAAGTTCCTTATAATTGTTGATTCACCTTGTATTTATCTATATGTATGACGTCATGTGCTAGCTATCTTATGATATAGGAGAAGCCTATGAAAAAGTTTAGGTTTGTATTTAAGTTCAGGGAAATTTTCAGCTTTGATACAATTTCAGTTCCTTAGCATAGCGATTATTGATTATGGTCTTATATAAGACCATATGGTTGAATATAGAACTTAAATGTGATAAATACAATTCCCGAAATATGTACCTCAAGTTTCTCATTATAAAATATAAGCAGGAACCTTTGAACTCTGTTGCTAAGTGAACTTGGTTGTTAAGACTGTTGCAGGACCTGGTACATTTCTAACTGGTTTCCTGTCAGGATCTTAGCTCTTTTCAGTTGCTCACAGGATGAGAAACAAGTGATTTACTTGAGAAATTGTCTTCTGGGGAGATTTTATGTTTGAAGTTCAATTTTTATTCCTTACATGTATCTAAGAAAAATGTTTGTAGTGAAAATTTTTTTAGGAATTATATATTTTCTTGACCATAAGCCCAGAATAAACTGAAAGATGCTGCTGCTGGTGATTTTGGCAACAGTTCCCCCTTGCTGTGTGATGACCAGGCTCTCCGGGCTAGCTGTATTCCTGATTACTCAACAGAAGTGTTGGCTGTTAATTCAGAAATAAAGCATTTGAAAAAGTTACATTAGGTTAAAATAAACTTGCATAAGAGCTGAAGTCTGTACCAATGAGATGAAATCTTTAGCCAGACACCATTCTTAATTTTGATTTTGGTTGTATGTTGTTTTCTGTCAGTGACATCTGAAACAGAGAGGAAGGTAAAGAGTGAAGCAAAAAAATAAAATGAAAAATATCATCAAAAAGCAGCAACAAAGAAATGCAAGATAACAAAAGTCCTTGAATGTTATAAAAGTCATTTTAAAATTGGATAGAGCCCCAGCCTTTTTTATGGATACCATCTTTTAATTTTTTTTTAAAGAATAAGATAAAGCAATAAATCAAAGGGTTTGTGAAATCAATTGAGTGGCAAGAACACTAACTTAAAAAACAAACAAACCCAGACACCTCTCTGTTTCTATAAATGGAATCTTATGTAGGGATTTCATTTTTTAAGAAGTGAGAACACTGTTAATATGTATGTATTAGTTTAAGGAAACCGTTCCCCTCTCCCTCCACCCCACCCCCCAGAATACTCATAAGTTATTATGACTTTCTTTTAGTAGAAAATGATTTTCAAAACTCTGTTGTCAATTGAAATAATGTCTTGTATTTTTTATTGACTTAAGAGCACATTTTCATTCTAGAGATCTCGTGGGCGAGCATTTGCTTTAAAGTGATAGAAATTGGCTTTTAAAACACTAACAGCACACATTATTTCTGACATAAAGCCACTGCAGTTTCTTAGTTTCTCTGTTTTCCTAGCAAATGGTATTGGTTGTCTGAAATAATTTATAAAAGTACAGAACTCCTGTATCTGCTGATCAAAATGCAGCATTTTTTGACCTTATGAAATTTCACACCCCAACAAGTTTTAAAGACATACTGTATGTCACAGTCTGCCAACATCTGCTCCCACACTTCCACTGGCAGAGGCTGGAATAAATGCTGCACTCTTGGGGAGAGATCCTGCTTAGTGACTGACAGCCTAGCCACAAAATAAATATTAGTCGACATCTGTAATCTTTGCTTCTATCGTCAAGTAGTTGTAGGTAATTGACTCAAACGAACAAGTGGAAGTTGTAGACCAGCTTCTTCATTTTCAGAAGTGTGTTAACACGGGTCTTACACCAGATAAACTGTTTAAGATTGGTGGTTCTTAAGACTTGACCTACTGTGGTCTTAAACTGACGTGAAGAAATGATGATTAGTGAGTGAATGGACGCTGGTTGAGGAAGTCGTGCCAAGTTCAGCTTTGCCACAAGGCATGAGTATGACCGTGGATGGGTCATTCTCTGAAGCACTCAGCATCATGGGAACACTCGGATGTAATGAACTTCAAGGCCCTTTTATCTCCTACGAGCTATGGTTCTGGGAGGGGCAGTTTGAGCGGGCCCCTGAGAGTGAATGGGAATTAAGCAGGGAGAAGGATATTCCAGGCTGAGGGGGACAAAGAATGTTTTCATGAGACATTAAGAGAAGGAAGAGTTGGAGCAAGGAAGCAGGTTCCCCTCTGGCCCTAGCCCCCTTGAGTAAGTGAAAAAAGAGATGATTTTACTGCGTATTTCTAAGGGATGTTGGGAAATATTATATACATATATTCCACTGAGAGTTACAGGAGTTCCCTATTTTTCCTTATAATTAAAAATATTACTTCAAATTTAATGTATGTAGGTTTTACTGCAATTTGACCAAAATAGGCTTTTTTATCCATCTGAAGAAATGAAGTAGGAGAACCAGCAGGGACTTGGGATCCCTCTTTCCAGTCTTCACTGAATTTCACATTCCTTCCTTTCTGATCTAAAGTTCCCCAAAAGATGGTGTGCGCTCCTTGTTTCTGGAATCCACTGCCGTCTCGCTTTCTCTCTCAGTCACTTGATCGACACCAGTCTCCGTAGTTCTCCAGTGACCACCTACCTGCTCATACGAGCAGACACTTTTCAGTTGTTTTTTTCCTGGGTCAGCACCTTGGGCTGCGTTTCATACCGTTGGTCCCCACTTCTCTCTTGGCATGATCTCTCCTGTTGTGTTCTGGGAGGTCTCTCTCTCTCCTGCTGTTCTTCCTTTGTCTGTTGGGTGGATTGTGGTATCTCTGTGGGTTCTGGCCAAGGATGCTTCTTATTTTGTTCCCTCTCCCTGGGGCAGGGGGTGGGTGGGGGTCACATGGACTTGGAAGGTTTCGTACGAGACGTGACTTCAGGGCACCAGGGTGCTGTATTCAGCCGGCTGCTGGACATCTTGCCCCGGGTTTTTCTGGGCCTCAACATATCCTAAGTGGAATTCAAGATAATCTCATCAGTTCTCTCTGTATTGGGTATGCCAGTTCTGTCTTGAGCAGAAGCCTGGACCCATTCCATGCCCGCCACCCCCATCGTCACCCTATTCCCAGTTCATTGGTTTCTACTGATTTAGCTTCTCAGTTTTTGAACTTCTGTGCATTCTTTCTTATAATCACTCTGGAGCAAGCACTCACTGTCTCCATCAGAGATACGGAGTCCGATACACTGCCTCTAGGTTCTACTGCATGCACCACTACCTCTCATGACTGTCACAGTGACCCTTGTACAGGTCCGTTTGACTCTGCATTCGCCCGGATCTCCACTGCCTGCTGGAGGAAGTCCAGCTTCCTCCGTGTGTCCTGCGGGTGTCCCCTCAGTCTGACCTCTGCTTTCAACTCTTGCCTCTTGTGTCCTCTGCTGGCAGGTCGCACTTCCACTCTGAGACTTTGTTTATGCTCTTCCCTCTCACTGGACCATTCTTCTGTCCTCTATTTGTCTGGATGATTGGTTTGCATCCTTTAAGAATTAATTCAGATTTAAATTCCCAGCCTCATTCCTTGCTACATCAGTTGCCCCTGCCCTTCACAAAGCTGTACTCTTTTGTTGTTACCACATTGTTTTCGGGTTATTTGTTCATGTGTTGTATCTCATCTACCAATTTTGGGGTAAAGAGCCTACTGTTATTTACTTTATATCTCCTAGTGCCTGCGTATTAGGGTTTAATAACCATTTTTGAATGAATGTCTGAAAACATCTAGCCCAGATTTTTCCTGTTTTAGATAAGAAAAAGGAGGCTGTTAGAAATTTAGTGATTTGGTTAAGGTTGCTTTACTAGGTAGGGTAGCCAGGTATCAAGGTTGGAATTCCAATTTCTCTCCTGTCATTTACATTTTATTTCCCTCCCCTGCCCCCATTCTGGACTGTTTTCTCTGGATTAAAGATCTGATTTGGGTCAGAGTCCCAATACTTTAAATTGCTAGATATCCGTTGGCCTGCAGAACGTAAACCCTCCAGGCCCTGTGAAATGTGGATAAAAATCTTTGATCTTCATCCTTCTTTGGGTGGATCAAATACGAATGTACATGAAGGTACCTTCTAAAGGGAGTGCCGAGGACATGTCAGTAAAGTAGTAATCATTTTCCAGCAGAGTGCATCTCTAATCAGAATTATGATCTGGCCAGGTGCTCACTATAGACTGAGATGACCAGGACTCCTGGTCTACTCAAGAGTCAGTGGTCTCAAACATTTTGACAGTGACCCCCTGACTCCAAAGTAAAACAGTTTCTCAGCCAAGAACTTGAAGATCTGTCCATATGTCTTGGGGCTCATCCTACTTTTGATCTACTTCCTTTTACTATCAGTGGGGGCAGGGGAGGTGCCAGCCAGCGTGGGTCCTGAGCAGCACCTCCTCGAATCCCACCTTTTCAGTGTTGCAGATTTTGTCCCACTCTGAGGATATCTCTTTCCTCTCTGATACCTTTCTGCAGTCCTTTTCCAAAAAATAGGTCGGTCTACATTTCTTCAACCAGTTTTTAAAAGTGAAATGAAATGTTTATGCACTAACCCATTTTTCTTCTTCTCTTTGTAAGAAAGTAAGGAAATTTGGGGATTTAAACCTACCAAAAAAACCGTTTTTACCTCTGAATAAATACTGGACGCAGATTTTTAAAAATGTAGAAAAATCGCTTGGTTTCGACTAATGGTTTCACTCACGCTCATGGGGATAGAGAAATTCTTGTGGCTTGATTCTTAGTCTTATATAAAGTATAATACAACCTAGAATAACAACCCTATAAATCTAGAATAACTCTACAATATATAAATGTAGAAGGATTACAAGAAAAAAAAGGATTACAAGAGCTCAGAATCGGTCACTTTTAAGGGGTTGACTGACCATTAGAACCACACTAGACACTATAAGGAGCATCTGTCATCGACTCTGGAAGACGTACACAAAGAACACACAGCGGTGGGAGGAGAGATGAGATCTGTTGCCAGAATGAATTTTATAGAAAATAAATGGCTGTAGAAGTTGAGGGAATAGATAAAGGGAAGCTAGGGTG